TAAATTTATTAAAATTTTATTAAAGTATTTATAAAATAATATAATAAAATAAAATAAAAAGTAGTAAGAAAACAAATAATACTTGTTAATATCACGTAGTATTATTACCGTAATAAGATATATTAATACTTTTATGATATCCCTCTAGCTATTGTTTCCTTTCTTTTTTTCTCTTAACTATTTTAAATATTCGTTCTTAAGTAATCATCAGAGTGCTGAAATACCAAATAAAATAGTAATTTATTTACACGTCTCGTTGAAACATACATTTGCCAATTGTTCTACTCTTCGTAATTCTTCTTTCCTTCTTTTTTTCTCTTCCTTCTTTCTCTTCACTTTCCATTTGTGTAATTCCTTCTTCTCACGTCGTATTTTATCTATATACAGTAAGTAAATAATACTCATAACATGAATTTAGATATTAAAATAGTATGTTATACTTACCTCTAGAATTCAAGATACATCTACAACATTTACATTGATCTTTTTGAACGATTGGCATTTTTTCACACCTCTTCACAGCTATCTTGTCCAAAATTTTCCTTAATTCAAAACAGAACCGTTATATTACTAATAACTCTACAACAAGATGCATCACGTAATTTTAAATAAAAATATTTGCATGAACAATCATGACGCATCCTGCCTATCTCCAAATTCTATCGTACCAAGATTCCTCCTTTTTACGCACTTCCTATCCCGATTTTTCTGATCCTTTTCCTTTTTCTTACTCTGGCAGCTTCTCTGAAGAAAACTGAATCGTTGTTTCTTCTTCTGTTCCTTCTTCGGTTTACGAACAGAGGTCAAATTTTTGATAGAATCGTCAGTACCAATCCGATGGTCTACTACGTAACGCGTTTGATAACTCTGATTACACATTTCACATTTCCCTGTACAATCTTCTCCTATATCCGAACAGGAACAAACATCTTCGTCATTCCACTCCAAAGAATCGGTGAAGGTATTTTTATCCTTTTTATTCTCGTTCCGGATATGCCTAAATTCGAAATATGTAAATAAAAAGAACTCGCGATATCCAATAGTGAAATCAACTCGATATCGTAAGTTAAATTAATTTGTATCGAAAAAGTTGATCTTTCCAAAAATAACGTAATTTATTATTGATTAAAAAAAGATAAAACTGTGTTGCAAATGATAAAAATTTAATTTAAAAAAAATTAATGTTTGAAGTAATTCATTGTAGTTGTAGTTGTATTACGGAATTATCAACTTGGCGATAACAAAAGATGCGCACGTTGATAAAAATGCACGGTCAGATTACGCTCGGTCAGTTTCTCTACGATAATTACTTGAATCGCGTACCACGTGCCTTTGAATGATTTCGCTTGTAATAGAAGTAAACACCGACAAGGCAAATGGTAATAAAGAATAGAACGAACAAAATCGAACACCAGATCGACGTGTGTACGACGGAACCAATCTTCTTCGGGCGCAGATTCCCTTTCTTTTTCAATCGATGACTCTTGTGACTGAGGGAAATGAAATCGACGAGTTTGAAAAATATTTATTTACAAAATGAAAAGAAAAAAAAAAAAGAATATGGAATTCAGTTGAAAGTTCTCCATAGAAAATTGTTACCAATGGCTATATTAATCCTTTATTGACTCTTGGATATATACATGTAGTTTCTTTGAATTATAATTGATAAAATAGACAATAATTTCATTGTACAATTAATAGTTCTAGAAAGTGATAGTGAAATGAAAAATTCTTACGATGCAGGGTGTGCTGCTGCAACCATTGCCCTTTTCACTCCTTTATTTTGTGCTTTAGAATTTCCGCGATGCTTCATTTTCTTTTTTTTCTTTTTCTTTTTTGCTGTTTTCTTCTTCATCTTGACACGAGTATATGAATCTTTGTCCATTTCCGGAGTATGCCTTCTCGACACTCTGTGGACTCCTGGAAATTCTAACGTGTCTGCTATATCGTGACCCTCCGTATCAAAGAATTTAATCAATCTGGGATTTTCTCTCACGTACTTTGCCAGATCAGGTCGTCCTAACCACCTTAAAGTCATTTCCATTGCTGCCCGTCCATTTGGTCTCATACTTGCTACGAAAAATTTCACTGTCTATACCTTTTCCATTATTTTTTTGGAATTACTAAATTAGCGAATATCTTTGTTATCAAAAATTAAATTTCATCAAATTAAAATATTTGTTATTACATAGTGAATGACGATCAACGATCATCTGTATCTCTTGTAAATGTGTTCAAACTCAAGAAAATATCAATTACATTGTACAGTATAAAATATACAGATTAGAGTAAAAAATATTCTACTATATAATACTACGATTATCTAAGTTAATCCCATTTGTTAGCTTGTTACTTGGAAAATCATGTTTCCATTGTTCGAGATTAAGAAGGCATTCCTTCGACGTTATTGGAATTCGACTCAAGTCTTCACGTGGAGTCTCGCGATTCTTCACTTTACGTTCCGTCCTCACTGGAGTTATTTCGTATACAGCTTGTACAAGTTGCAAACACTCCATAGCGTTCAATTTCTGTGACAAGTGCACGAGCTCGTGCTCTTCTACGTTGGCGATACATCGTACCAAAAATTTTTCCTTGAAAAGGGATTTTGTTTTTCTTTTTAAGTTTTTCTTTTTTTCTTCGAAAGAAATCTACAGATTTCCACGCGAACAGACTCGAGACTTCCACAGAAAGGAAATTGTTCGAAGAAACGTACAACGCAAAGGACAAAAAAACACAATATTGTGCAATTAAAAAATCATTTGATTATCTTCACACTGTCTTATCAATGTTAACACGTTATCGCCCGATACGATATTGATTCCTGATTAAATCTAAACTCCTAGCTCAAATTCCTCACCTTGTTTTCCGCGAAAACCACAATCAAAATATAAATCGAGCATACAAATTTCATTCTAAAATGAACGCACGTAAAGTTCACTATGAAATCGGTGAATTACATTTTGTCGTCAGACGAGAAAATGTAAATATACTTTTGACAGATCCATGATCGACAGTCGTTTCAATGATATCGATTACGAATAGCGATTATATCTTTGAAAACTGACCTCTCGTTTACAAATTATTAATTGCACAATATTACAGACTACATTCATAGCACACATACGAGATTCTGTAGAAATACATTAACTTGAGGCATGAAGTTGGATGTTGTTTCTCGTTGAAGATATTTTAGAATATCATTCTGCATCCTCGTGAAAGTATAGTAAATAAAATAAAGACAATTCTGTAGTACTGTTTTACTAAATAAAGTCAGTTATGTTGAACAGCCTGCCAAACGAAATATCATTTTTAAGGTTTGATTCTTTTTATTACCTCAGTGTCGCTTCGTATTTTTCTGACATCTTAACCAATCGATCATGCTCATATCAAGGATATTGAGAAGATTCGATTTGAACGTGAAAATCAGTGCTACGTATTTTCCTTGAAGACGTGTGATGAACCAACTCGAAGCATGTAACTAAACCGTGTTAATCTCTCGAAACCCTCGATGAACCTACGAAACGTATTAAATGACGCGCTGTTTCTTCTTCTCCTCAATCTTACCAGTTCCTTCCTCCAAGTATATTTATTTATTTACATTGTCGATTATTCAAATAAAATTCGAGAAACGTTAACAGAGAAACATTCTATTTAAAATTGCTATATAAAACCTATTTCGTGTCGTTTCTTTACTTTTTGCAAAGATCATCACCGAGGTTGATGTGCCAGAACTGCAGCTGCTAGCGTCGAACTTGAAGCCCGAAGAGTGTGTGAAACTTGTGTCTTTGGATTCTAACAGTAAGAATATTTAAATATTACGTTATTTCGTGAGGATTAACGGTTATACTTTGGAGTATTCTTAAGTGCATATTTAATAGCTCAACTGTCGGAAACGCAAATAAAGAAGTTGGCTCGAGAACAAAATTGCTTTCGAAGGCTCGTGAAATGGGTTTGTCACTTGAAAACTGTTACGAGGAATACGTATCCGATCTTGAACAGCCTCCTTGAACGCATCGGCAGGAGAGATTTAATCGCGTGTCTCGCAGAGCTCAGCACGAAAACTTCCAAGTCACCGAAAGTGATACGCAAAGTTCGAGCGGATGATTCCGAGTAAGTTAGCAAGATATTTAAATACATAGTTTAGTAGTTGTTATTATTTGTTCTTAATTTGTTTGTGAATAGCGTACACTAGTACGCTGCATAGTGAATAGCAATATTACAATAAATTCTTCTTTTCATTCCGTAACATTCCGTCAGCGACTACGAAGAAACAGCCACGACTGCACCAACGAAAAAAGAGAAACATAGTGATACGGAGCAAGCTCAAGTCTCGAACCAAATGATCGAAAAGATCAGTGGTAACAAACGTCATGCTTCAACTGTAATAACGTACTATTAATCGTAATGTATTTCGATCATCCGCAGGACGTACCACTATCAAATTGTCGTTGCGCAACGCAGGCATCGTTGTCGCTTCGATCATACTTGTAACCTGTTTGTGTACGTGTTTATGTTCGTACATTATAAGAAGGAGGCTGACGAAAATGTACGAAAAAATACGAGGGAAGAAAAAGAAAGGGTGATTATTACGAGTGTGCCGATTTCAGTCGAGTGTATTATGTTTCGAGCAATGCAAAATTTCAATTATTGCTCGATTAAATTAAATGTTTGCTCATCGAATCCAATTATCTAAACGTAAACTTTCACTGCGTGAAAAATAAATAAGAAGTGTGGAGTAAC